GGATACTGTTGCAACACTTAGAAGAGATATCTTGGCACCCCAGGTTGTTGGTTTAGAGTAGGGATCCCTGTTATATTATGTTAAACTTGTATTAAAGTTTTTCTTCATTACCCATTCAAGCTGTCTCCAAGCATTAAAAGCATCTTATTGTTACTATTTCTTCTACTTGGCAGTTTTTTTGTTTGTCCCCTTTTGATTGGATTCTAACGTTTGTAGACAACTGTCTTTCTGATTGCTTTAACTTCAACAGGAACCCCTTCAAGACTGCATTCACAACGTTTGTACGAAATACAAACATCGCACCTTCCACCATTTAGGGTAAACAGGATTTGGATATTCTGATAGTACAAAATTTTTTTAAACACAGTTTCGGGGTATTGGGACTCATTCATAAATAACGATTTCTCTGGCATAATACTTGTTCGTAAGTTCTAATTCTAAATTATTGTTGAAAGGCTGTTTTAATGCATTTTAATCGTTTGGCAGATATTGTTGTGACCTGAACAGCAAATAATGTATGTACAATCGATACGAGATTTTAGGGTTAAACGTATTACTACAGTTAAATAAAATACTGTTGGCAAAATATTGATATTTTACTAAACTTTTAATAGCACCAAAACTAATACTAGGATGAATTCGACAAACTTAGGCGTAGAATGTTAAGTTATAGGCTTATAGTACGATTTAACTAAATAACTACGGTGCAGTTCAAGTAATTGGAATATTTTTGGCACCAGCCCACTGGTTTCTTGAAATTGTGTTGAAAATGACATTTTTAAAAATATATTTTTTATTTCCTTTCATAATTTATCTTCCAATATTTTCTGTTTTTTTTGGGGGGGGAAAAAATTTCAAGAACGTTCTTAGGTGTAACTTGATGAAACTCATTTGTAATGCCACTGTTCAATTGTATCGGGAAAGATCACGCGGATGTTATCTACTTGCATTGTTTTGTTGTCAGTACATTTGTTATCAAGAGCCTTGAACAAGTAGTTCTTTCTTCAGTCTTCAAGACATATATATACTTGTACAGCAATTACAGTGAGATGTGAAATATTAGGACAGGTTTCGTATAACCTACAGATGTATCATACACATCCAAGCAAGTTGAAAGTGTGACCTAAGTCTTCAGTTTTGTCAGCTAAGTGTTGAAATGCACTTCATTGCCACATTGAGGCCCGCGGAAGATACATGTAAATAATGCTCGTTGATGTGATTTACACGTAACAACCTAACTTCAGATTTTTTATCTGGAAATATGCAATAATTGTATTGATACTGAAGACTTATTTATCGTGGGCGTATCCAAAACTTCCATAATAATTTAATTCTCATGACACGGGTGGAACTATTTTACAGTGACGTATTTATGTATGCAGAATATAGTATTTGTTTTACTACAAAATGATTGCAAAACATTTTGTACATGTACAAGACTGATGAAAATTTTTATTTACTAAAGACAATAATTTTCATTGATAATAAAGTATATGAATATAAGATAGAATAGAAAATTTAAACTTTTTTCACTGACATTTCAAACGATGTGGTATTGTGATGCAAAATTTTAGTAAATTAATATAAAAGATTCTTACAATTTGTGCGGTTAATGAGTTTTTTTTAACTTAAAAACATCTACAGTCATCTTTGTTTTTAGCGACCAGAAGATGTTAGAAATGCACTGTTGTCATAGTTTCAGGTCAACATTGATGAATGTACGATGGAAGGCTATAGGCCTAAAAAAATTTTAGGCTTGTTGGTTTTCTATTATTTCGTTGGCTTTCGGCATTTCAACCATAACAGTATAAGAAAAGTTTGGTCAATGAACATGTTTTTCTTGTAACCTACTCTGTAGAAAATTCTCATACTTTTGAATTAACTTTTATTATATTCAAAGCAAAGTTCTACTTTTGGAAAATCCTTAATTTGTTAGGTTCCTAATGGTACATAACGGCGAACTTATGTCTGTGTATAGTAGCATACACAAATTGACAATTGAAACACAGCTGAGAGTTCTACAGTGCCATGTTCAACCAATCCTTCCTTCAAGCAATGCAGTAGGAATGTGGTTACCAAGATGAATGTTTAAAATATCGTGGAATACACAAAGAAGTCATTCCGAAGAAGGCCAAGAACAAAGCGAATGTTGTGGAAAATTTTAACAAAGAGACAACAGAGTTTTATAGGACATATGAGAAAAGGAGAGATTGAAATAAACAGAAACAACATTACAGGAAATAAAAGTAAAGGGAATCAGTGGAAAACCATGTTCACCAGTCCCCTAGATGGGCATGGTACCTAGAGGGAGAGAGATAGTAGCATAAGGTACAAGAAATTCTGGAAAAAGTCGCTTGTAGTAATGTAAACTAGGAAACTGTTGACACCATTACTACTGTCCCTGTCAAAAAGAAAAAAAAATGAAACCATTTTATAATTTTTCACATAAGCCAAATTAAATGTTTCCTCACTTTGAAGTACTTCTGATATATTTTATGATATTAATTTTGGAATCTGTGACACAATAAAACATCCAATAATCTTCGTTCAGAAAGATCAATTTGTTCAGCTTCTGAGAAGAGCCTTTCCACAGATGATTGTTTTTTCATATTTTTTTTTCAGATAAAATTCCCAAACTCCTGAAGTCGTTAGTTACTTCCAGATACATCTGTATTTTTATGATCAGAATGTTACTAAAATCTCATTGTCTAATACTTACATCCACTCTATATGTATAAAGACTTACATGACCTAAGAAACAAATAAAATGAATGATATATCCATTAAAACAAAAACATTTTGACACTTTTTTTTTATCAGTTTCTCGTGAACGAGGCTTGCAGGTCATAAAATTATTGCAAAACTATCAAAACAAGAAACTTCATAATGAAACTGTGTAAAGAAACTATAAAAAATATATTTAGACCAAAAACTTTATAAATATATGTTAAGAGAAAAACGTCTACTTTTATAAGATATTTATCTCTTACTTTCCTACAGCAGCACATGGTTGAGCGTCTGCCAAGATTACAGCTTTCTCAAACGTTCCAAGGATGGAGGATGACACGGGGAATGATGTATCCAAGTACTTCAGTTTCTTCTCTCGTATCTTTGGTAGGCCAAGAGAGAGTGTGACGGTTATAGCAATAATAGCTATCAACAGCACCACAGTTACGATGATGCAGTCACGACGTGTGAAATAAGTTCTGTAAAATATTATATACTCTGAAGATGTATTTAAGTAACAGGATGATGATGAGGTAACAGGAGAATTACAAGAAATCGTGAAGTATCTCTAGAAAAAAAATATATCGAAAGCTTATCAGACACGGCTAATATTTAGATGGCTATGTAGTAAATAGTAAGTACTTTCTAGAACATGAATAAATCCAAATAATTTTCTAAATGTTGCAAATCTAAGCTAAAGAATCATAAGAACAAACTGATGAAAAATTATCAATGTTTAATGTACATTACAACAACAAGACTTGTCCCACTGATGAACAGGATATTATTAACGAGATCTGACCAGAACCACACTCAAAATTTGAGGATAATATTTTTATTTTATGAAGTTGTAATAACGAGGAAAAGTTCAAATGATTTAAACACTTAGTAACAACAAAACTGAATAACCTAGGGAATATTATCTTAATATTGTCTACATTTTTCTGGTGTTGAACGTAAAGTTTATTTTCTTAGTGTATGATGATAGTTTTATCTGTTTAGTTTCGTTGTTAAATTTTTCATCTAACTATTTCTACGTGACTGTGTAAAAGTTTATGAAATTCATTTTCTGTAACATTTACCCAAATATAATTTACAATAGTTGTTAGTATTTACTCAATACTTGTGTATATAGCTTGAATAATGTGTAACCAGAGTAATGTGTAACAATAGTGTATAACCAGAGTAATATGTAACAATGTATAACCAGAGTAATGTGTAACAACAGTGTATAACCAGAGTAATACGTAACAATGTATAACCAGAGTAATATGTAACAATGTATAACCAGAGTAATGTGTAACAACAGTGTATAACTTGAATAATGTGTAACCAGAGTAATGTGTAACCAGAGTAATATGTAACAACAGTGTATAACCAGAGTAATGTGTAACAACAGTGTATAACTTGAATAATGTGTAACCAGAGTAATGTGTAACAACAGTGTATAACTTGAATAATGTGTAACCAGAGTAATGTGTAACAATAGTGTATAACCTGAATAACTTGTAACAACTTGTAACCAGAGTAATATGTAACAATGTATAATCAGAGTAATATGTAACAACAGTGTATAACCAGAGTAATGTGTAACAACAGTGTATACCCAGAGTAAAGTTTAACAATAGTGTATAACCTGGATAATGTGTAACAATATGTAACCAGAGTAATGTGTTACAACAGTGTATACCCAGAGTAAAGTTTAACAATAGTGTATAACCTGGATAATGTATAACAATATGTAACCAGAGTAATATGTTACAACAGTGTATACCCAGAGTAATGTGTAGCAAGTGTTTAACCAGAATAACATATAGTGACAGAATGTTACCAGTGTAGCAACAGAAATAGATTTGATATAATGGAATATTTAAGTGATGTGTGGTTATTTGTATACAGATGGTAGTGTACTAAGTAATATCTACTGTTACATTGTAGCAATCTTTAGTGCAGTAGATAAAGTACTGTTCCCTTGAAACATGTCTGTGGTTGCATTTCCAGGAGCAACTTCCCTGCCATCTATAACTTCAGTTTTTTTTGTTTTACTATATAAAACAAATAACACTATTTAATACAGAGCAGCCAAGAATCACACAAACAAAGATTACAGAAGAATGACAAGATCAAACAGTGAGACAAAAATCAAGTTTGGTGTTTTAATGCAATGTTAGATGTTATGAGCCAATTAAAAATGATGAGTTAAAACGGTGACCCATAAACAGACCTCAATCTTTAAAGCAATGTTAAAATTATGTGTTAAAACAGTGAAACACACATGAACTCTTGAAAAGTAGGTTTGGTACAATTAAGTTGATTACCACAAGTTATCTGCACTACAACTAACCTGATATAAATTGTCATGAACAGTCCACCACCTAGTCCCATGCTATGTGGATTCACGACTCCATCACAGAACAATGTGGCAATAGCTCCATCAATGGCCGATCCTCCCTTTTGAAGAAGATCACTACAATGTAACAGTAAATATTACTTAGTGCACTAAAGATTGCTACAATGTAACAGTAACTATTACTTAGTGCACTAAAGATTGCTACAATGTAACAGTAAATATTACTTAGTGCACTAAAGATCGCTACAATGTAACAGTAAATATTACTTAGTGAGGTAAGAAACCTAGATGTTGTTACTTGTACTCAACACATGTTACAAGGGAACAGTACATTGTCTACTGTAGGTAAGAAACCTACGTGTTGTTACTTGTACTCAACACATGTTACAAGGAAACAGTTTGTTATCCAGAGAGAACAGGGAACATTGAAAACAACATCCTGTTTTTGTTAATTGTTGTTTAAATTATTTAATCTCTTATTACCACAATGGCATTTTTTTTCCCATTTTACTTTCGTCAAGTTAAATCACCAATATTTTTAACTATGTTATGAAAGTTATTTAATGATTTATTGGGTTTCTTCTGTATTTTAATATTTTCAATAACTAGACCTTATTATCATTTGTGGTCATAAGAGATTTCTTTGTTATAAATTGTATACTGATCTATAAAAACAAAATGATAAGATGTAATTGGTTAATCATTATCATAATAATCAAAGTAGAGATGTGATTGGTTAATCATTATCATAAAGATCAAAGTATAGATGTGATTGGCTAAGATATATCAAGTAAGATCAAAGTATAGATGTGATTGGCTAAGATATATCAAGTAAGATTAAAACATAAATGTGATTGGCTAAGATATATCAAGTAAGATTAAAACATAAATGTGATTGGTTAATATTTGTCATGTAAGATTAAAGTGTAAATGTGATTAGCTAATTTTGTTGTATAAGGTTATCCTTAAGCCTATTTTCATTAACTTTTGAAACTATCAGTCATAAGTGTAATTAGCTAATAATGTTTTGGTTTAGGAGGTTTAGCAGTGGCTGTTCCAGGAGAACTGAAAGCTTATTGGTTAGCACATCAGAGATATGGGAAGCTCAACTGGTCAGACCTTGTATTACCGTCTGTGAAGATAAGTCGTGATGGATTCAAGATTGGAAAGCACTTAGGGAGAAATATTATGAGGTTCAAAGATGCGATCATGTCAGAACCATCTTTGAGGTAAGACAAATCTCTGTTTTCATCTTGTAAATAAAGAGTTCCTTGTAAAATATTGTTTGATAATTCTATTAATCTTGTGTATGTTAAAGTATCCTTAGTTTTTTATCTAACTGGTTGGGGATCTATCTTTTTACTTAGTGGCACATATTCAGAATATAAAGTGAGGCTTTCAAATAATTTAAAGTGTTTTACATGACTGTCTATAGCTTATGAGAAAATTAAGTTACTCTAGATAGTTTTTGTAAGTTCCTATTATATAAAGGTTAAGAATGTTATATTAAAAAGTTTTTAGAGCCTGACCACATTGTTATAATTCAGGTTATCGTGTCTGGTCATGCTCTGTCTGATGTCCTTGCATCTTGGTAATAGCCCCGCAGCATAGTTTCCATTTTGAAAGGCTCCATCGTAAAATTGTCATGCCCAAAGCACACCACTCCTCCTTGCACGCATTCTCCAATCTCGTAACCCTTTCACTGCAGCTTGGATCTGTATTTTCCAGTGCACTGGGAAATATGTGTCCCAGCTGTAGTGAATGGGTTAAGGTATGCTACAGTTAAAATTTGTCGAGGAAGCTTTTTGTGTACATGTGTCGCTTTTCTAGACAGAGATCCATGTAGATTATGTTGCATACCTGGGCTTTTGTCATTGATTGTTGTATTAATGTATTCTTACTTATTACAAGATGCTACACTTTGTTTATCATAGTTGTGGCCTACAGCACTTTTTCTTGATGGCCTTGGTGCCCTAACTTAATCTACATTCCTTTGTTTTCCAATGCCATTAAGTACAAGGGATTTCCCCATCTTGGATGTTCTAAACCCCCGATCTTGACACATCTATATGATTTAAAGTGTGGGGATATTTTTCATCAGAAAGGGTTGTACCATTCTCAGAAGTAACCAGTTTTCACTGCCATTCAGTTCCATTGTGATTTTATATTGGTTGCGGCTGTCACGTGACTTGCTAGTTTTCACATATAAAATTGTTTAAACATATCATTCTCAGCCATCTATATTTTTGTGCTCAATAGCTTTGTAACAACTTGACTGTTTAAAGTACTGATTGATTACATACATGTATATGAAAAGTTGAATCAGCTTTAGAAGGTTTACTGCCTATAATTCCTGTCAAGCTGTTAAAAGTATTCGTTGTTTTCTATTCTACACAAAAATACATTCACGTTTTGTTGAAGTTAATTTACTAAGTTTTTATGTTTTTCCAGTAAAATTTTAGTATCATATACAGTGCTCATCCTGGCTATTTTTAATTTATACCAACAATTTTGTGGGCAAAAACTAACCCTTTAGACATGCCCATATTGGAAGTATGATGCCATTAGATATGCAACTTAGCTCAAACTATACGCACAATTTGAATCATTTGTTTCCATATATGTCTTGGGCTATTTGAAATGGTTTTACAGATACATTTGATCTAATTAGATGTGTATATAAACCTGAATATACTAAAAAACGTATTAATATAAAGAGTTATGTGCCAAACCTAGCTTGTGATGCAAATATAAAGCAAACAAATAATCAAGATCTAAATAAAGTATACATCAAAAATAGTTAACGAATTTGTTTTTATGAAAAGTATAACAAGATTTCAGTTTTGAAATTTATTGCTGTTTTTTTTTATTGGTCACCGCATTTTGCTCTAGAATCAGGAGTTTGATAGTTTTTTTTCTGTAATTTTGTATTTATAACTTTTAATTTTAGTAATTAAATCCGTCATTTTCTTCATTGTTTATTCAGAAGCAAAGAATTCCAACTTCCTGACCAAAACGACATTCTTTTATAAAATGTAGGCTCTTATTGGTCAGTTACCCTAACTAGCTTGATGTTACAACACATTTGACTGGCTGAATGAATAATCAGTAGCAAGTTTATATACAATAGGTCATGATTATTTATTATGATTGTCAAAATAAAAGCCTTAAACTGTGATTAAATGTGTAAGTGGACATCAGTTGAGGGAACAAACAACAATAAAACTTCAAAGCCTTAAACTGTGATTAAATGTGTAAGTGGACATCAGTTGAGGGAACAAACAACAATAAAACTTCAAAGCACTGTGGATGGAATTTATGTAAGTTTAGTGACATGTGTTTGTTTGTCACACTTAAAAGTTACTGATTTTGTTGATTATAATAGAGGTGAACAAGTAATATTCAAAGTTTTTTATGAAATATTTTATTAATTAATTGCCATTTCTTGTAAAGTGTTGATAATGAGTGAAGTCGGAAGGTTATGTTTATGATTTTCAGGGAAGTATTTTTTAACAATGCAACTGGAGATGTCTACAAAGAGGGAGAAATGTTGAAGAGACCTGTGCTGGCAGCAACGCTACAGAAGATAGCCGAGAACGGGGCTGATGAGTTATACAGTGGAGAGACTGGAAGAAACCTTGTCAAGGACATCCAGGGATTTGGTGAGTGAATTACGGTTGAGCTGGGTGTTATTTTAACGGAGAAATCTCGTCACTTGTCTCTTGGTTGTATGTGTGGTTATATGGTTATAAGTGAAGTATAAAACTATAATCTGTGTGTTTATATGACAGTGAGTCAAAATACTTAAATATTTGTGTGTTTACAATCTTTTAGTCAGGTATTTATGTTTAAAACTAGAAAACATTTTTTGTTTATAAGCTTTGAGTAGTTACATTTAAAAATATATATAACATAAAGTAACGTTTTGGGACAACATGGGGGACCTATTGGTTCATCTTGGCTGTCCCATTCTTTAAACTAAAATAATTAATAAATACAAGTAAAAAATGTCAGCTCTTATCATTCATATACTTATCAAGCTTTCTTTTAAACTCACTTAAATTTACTGTCTCCACAACATCCGAAGGCAACCCATTCCAAAGGCCAATCATCCTGTTAGAAAAATAAAACTGTCTTAGCTGAAGATGAATCCTACCTTGCCAAAATTTATATTTTTGTCCCCTAGTACTACTATTCTCAGTTAAATATGAAGAGAGATGATGCATCAACACTATCAATTCCCTTTACAATCTTAAACACCTCAGTCAGATCCACTATAACTCTTCTTTTTCAAGTTAAAACAATTTGAGAGATTTCAAACTTTTCCTCATATGACAACCTCTCCATCCCAGGCACCATTCTAGTAACCCTTTTCTGAACCCTTTCCAACAATTCAGTGTACTTCCTAAGGTAAAGAGTCCAAGATTTAACACAATATTCCAAATTTAGCCTAACCAGTGACCTGTAAAATGAAATTATAACATCTTTAGACTTGTATTCAA